TTTGACACTTAAATACCGTTGACGTATAATATGAAATTTTTCAAGTAAGAGCATTTTTGGTTATTTAGAAAGGTAGAATGGATATTTTTATAAAAAAAATAGTGGCATTATATTTGTAGTTAAAAAACAATTAATGCATCTTGATGGTGAAGTAACACACCATTGTCCACTATTGTTAATAAATGTTTTTGTTTTTATTAGAAATTTATATTTTATCTTTGATTAACTACTTAAAATACCTCTAGACAGGAAGTTATTGCACTATAGGATAAGGGTATTTAAGTCTCCAAAAATGTTGATGACTTAAAGGTTCTACACCATCAAGTGGTGTAGCTTAACAAAACCCTAGTTTAAAATAGAAAAGTGTATATAAGGTTGAAACGATGCAGCTCAAAAATCCATCGAAAAATGTTGTTTTAATGTTGAAAAAACCTCTAATTGATCATCTCGACATCGAGATATATGAATATGAAAAAACAAAAAGATTTTGAATCCTAAAACTAGTGCATCTTACACTACATTATTTAGACCATCCAATATCAAGATTTTCACCAAACTTATATGTCAGGATAGAATTTGGAGGTGCGTTTTAATTGGATTGTTTAAGGTTGCAACCTTATAGAAACCACACCCTTTAAAATATTATTCATATTTTTATATATATATTTAAAATCTAGTCCCAAATTCTATTCCCAAATTAAAATCTTGTCCCAAATTAAGGGCATAATTTGTTACTTACAGCAAAATATATATAGACTATAATTCCTTTGGATTTTCAGCACAATCAAGGGCATAACCCTTGCCTCCCTTTTTCAAATCTAACAACTAGGGATAAATTTGGCAAGGATTAAGTGTTTTTAGGGCCTAAAACTTTTTGTAAACAAAATAAAACCTCATCTCAAATCCTTCTCCGGAGAGTATTTTGGCATCGGAAATTTCCACGATGCCTCTAAATTAATTTCCAAAGATCAACAATGAAATTTGAAACTAAAAAAATGTAAAAATCTTGCGGATTTGTGAACACTTATTTTTAGCGCAAAATGGATGGTCTAAATGATTTGTTGCAATATACACTATTTTTACTATTTAAATTCCTAATTTTTTATGCAACCATAATGTTCAAACTGAGATGATCGATTTAAAAGTTTTTCAACATTTAAAATTGCAAATTTTGATGAATTATGAGGTGAGGTTTTTACTGATTTTGATAGGGCTGCAGCCCCTTTCAAACCACTTTCCATTTGATAATTAGAAATGATTATGACCATTTTTGTACCATAGGTAACTCAATCTTATAGTATACTTTCCCCATAACAAATAATAAAATTGTTTCATGCAGGCTGGACCACATTTCTACATATGTGGTCCAGAAAGTGTAAAGCATCCATCTTTAAGATGGATACAAGTAGGCATTCCATCTAAAAGCAATAGAAACTAACGGTCCAAATGTTTTCTTACTAGAATTATTATTTCTAGTTTAAAAATTTATTTAGCTTTTCATATTCATGATCTCCATGTTAGAGATTACATGTCTTTAAAAATTAAGTCTTAAAATCTATCTCAAAAATAGATTTATTAAGAGGCCCGCATTTCTACATATGCGGGCTTGCACGTATAGAAACCGGGTCCCCACGAGATTAGTTACTCTAATGAAACAGTGGGTCATCTCCAATGCCCATTGATGGGTCATCTCCAACGCCCACTGATGCAGCGGGGCAACCCATCGGGAAAATAAGGATCATCAATATTTGTTGTTTTTACTCTTGAGTGCAATACCAGTATGCATACTGTACACTTACTCACTCCGGCATAAGCCTAACTTTGAAAAAATAAATATCTAAAATTTTAAAAACCACCTAAAAATCACTAGATGATTATATCCAAAAGAAAAAAAATTTTGAATTTTAGTTTTATAACACTTGAATCTTACCCTTCAAAAATTGAAGGGTTTTTATTCAATATTGAGACACTTTTTTTTTAGGGGAAAGGTTTCTATGCTTCCCCTACATAAAAGATAAATACTTCCCCCTCCCATGCAATTTAGATCAAGTGAGTCAACCATTTGTTCCAGATCCAGTGCCTCAAAGTATTTTATTTTTAATTTTTTTTACAAATTGTATGAGTATGAAATTTGGTATTAGCCATCTTCTCAATGAGGTGCACCTAAAAAAAATATTATTTTTTATAAATATAGTCATCCAAATATCCTTTAAAACTTTCAAAAGTATTTTGATTATTTTATTTTATTGAGAATATTTATTTTATATTTTTTTACTAGTGTGAGTTAAGAGAGGGGTGGACACCCCAAATTTGGTGTCAAAAATTTTATAGAAAAAATTAAAAATAAAATAGTGTAGAAACGTGAAAATTGTGATTGAGGACATCTCAACCGTCCATTCAAAATAGACAGTTGGATATAAGTTTCAGACGAAGTGTAGAACATTTGCCATTTTTTTACGGGATAATATACTATTTATCTTTGGACAAGCTTTCTATGCTTCTCTTACCGCATAAAACTTGTATACTTCTCCACCGTCCATTCCGAATGGATGGTTGAGAGGGCCCAATCATAATGTCACATCTCTACATTGTTTTATTTTTATTTATTTTTTTGACAAATTATTTTGATACCAAATTTTGGCCGTCCACTCATCTCTTAAACTCTTACCTGTTAAAAAAAAAACTCTTACTAAGATAAAATAACCAAAATACCCTTGAAAGTTTTTAAGAGGTATTTTGATCATCATATTTTTTTGAATAATTATTTTTAATATTTTTTTTAAGTGCATCCCATTGAAAAGATGGCATGTACCAAATTTTATTTTCATACAATTTATATAAAAAACTTAAAATAAAATACTGTGAGGCATCGAATCTAAATCAAATAATCAGTGACTCACTTGAACTAAATTGGATGGCTCGATAGAGGGGAAGTATTTTTCTTCTAAAAACCTTTTCCTTTAAGTTTATTACCAGGAAGTCCCAATTGTTATTATCATTATATGTCAAACTAAACGGCACAAGGCGTAGCACAAAGTTCAAATATATTTTTTTAGAAAAAAACTTTGCGTCGAGCCAATGATAGAGTCACATCCACCTAATTTGAAATTGATAGACAAGATTATTACGACTTCTTCGTAGTAAACATAAGGGAAACCTTTCTATATTCTCCCTACAACATAGAAGTTCTATATTCCCCCTTATCCAACCGTCTATTTTTTAATCGAGGGTTAAGATTGTCCAATCATAATGTCACACCTCTACATTGTTTTATTTTTTATTTTTTTTCCATAAACTGTTTTGACGCCAAAATTTGGACGTCCATTTCTATATTAAACTCGCACTAACTAAAAATATAAAAAAAAACATTTTCAATAAAATAAAATGACCAAAATACCGCTAAAAGTTTCAAGGGATAATTTGGTCATTATTTTTTATCAAAAAATTATTGTTAATATTTTTTTATAGGTGCACCCCAATGAGAAGATGGCACGTACCAACTTTCATATTCAAAGAAATTGTATTAAAAAAACTAAAAATAAAATACCTTGAGACGTCAGATCTAAAATCAAACAGTGAGTGGCTCTCTTGATAAAAAAATGGACGGCTAGATGGTAAGGGGAACATAGAACTTCTATGTTGTAGGGGGCACATAGAAAGCTTTCCCTACACATAAAAGGCTAATAGTCTCTTGCATACTTTACCTTGTTTGTATAGAGCCTAGGTTCCAAACGATCAAATTAGAGCTTACCTGTGTCGAAAAAATGTCGAAAAATGTGGTTTCAATATTGAAAATCTTTGTGATAGACTTAAAATATATTTTCATATTTATTTATAACGTTTAAAGTTTCAAAAATATTGTAGATTGACAGATCTATGAAAACTTGAAAATATTGAAAATTGATGGTCCAAAAATGCATTACAAAATACACTATTTCCAAAACTTAAACTCCATTTTTTCTCATATGCATACATCTTGATGTCGAGATGATCAATTTAAATATATTTAGACATCAAATCAACCTCTTCTAGTGAAATTTTTGTGGTAGGCTCAAATTGAATTGTTTAGTACATTGACTCTACCTAAACTTGATAAAGGAATATTACAAAAACCTTCCCAAAATCATACTTTCTAGACAACTACCCCGTAACCACGTTATTTTTTAGCAATTTTTACCCTTAATTTAATTTCCCTAGCCAACACCCCCCCAATAATAAAAAAAAAAGGTAAAATGAAAACAAAAATACCCTCTAAAAAGCATTCAATCCGGAACAAAATAAAAATGGTCCGACACTTTGAAAATACGGTCCAACACTTTGAGCTTTCTATAAAAGCTGTGGTTCGACACAAGATAAGAACAATCCAACAATTTGATCATGCGATCCAACACAAAATAAAAACAATCCAGAACCATGGGTATTTTTATTAAAAAAATATATAATTTTTTTGACTTGGGCATATACCAGGAAAGTGCTCCCAAAAGAACTAGCTTGGATAGGTTGACTAGAAAGTTTCCCTTTCGAGGGATTTTTGTAATTTTTCCTATAAATAATAATAATAATAATAATATTATTATTATTATTATTATTATTATTATTATTATTTATTGAGTATAAATGATGAATTGAAGGGGTTATATCAGGGCTTAAAAATACTCCAAACTCGGTTTTGCTCGAGAGTAAATGGACAATTTGCTCCCACAAGACAATGAAATCTTTTGCAGTACTTCGATAGATGCCCGAAATCACACTTCATAGTCATGCGTTACAAGTCGCCCATGCAGACAACGAAATAGTTATATCGATCCGGATCAACGCAGGGAACTGACCCGGTTCTTTACATAACCAAGAATCAGCCCAGTTTAAGACAACATCCTGAATGAAGAATTGCCTCCAAATCAAATTCGGTGGGTTCGTGATAAAGATCTTCCCTGACCCCCAAATTCCCCACTTTTATTGTTTATTATTTTTCAACCAATTTTTCATCAGCTGCCTATCAATACAATCCAAAACCAGACTCCTTGTTATAAAACACCAGCCCGGTTCTATTATAAAACCGGGCGATCATGAGCCAAACAAAGGGGATTTCACCAAATAGCCTGGTTCCCACATACTTTACTTATTATTATTATGTTTATTGTTTTATTTATTTTGAAATATAAATACAATATTTTAATATTCTCCAGCTCAGTTGAGAAAATCATCAATCCAGGTCAGCCCGTCAATCCTGTTCGGCCTAGTAAGTTTATACTCTGAATATTCACTTGACCAAGACCCAAATAACCCATCATCTTCATTTTAGCTTTTTTCCTGAATAACCCAATCGCATGATATACATATCATGTGAATCCAGCACAAAAACCCTAGAGAGATCAAACAAGTTGTATAAATCGGCAAGTGCAACGGGAATGAATCTCCTGTCTCTACATCTCTAACACTACTCAAGCAAAATTTTTCAAGGAAACAAAGTTACCACATGTTTAAATGATGCCAATCCTGTTGGCCACATCGAGTGCATCATAATCAGGCGTCAACCGCACATACGCTTTCTTCTTTCCGTCCGGTCTGTATTATGGAAGCCCACCAAAAACAACAACACAACTCCTTAAGTTTGAAGAAAGGAAACTAGGCTTCCAAAAACAACCAATAAAACAAGTTAAAAGCCAAAAAGGAAAAATGTAATTTACGGGGTCAATAATTAAGGGGATCAGGAGATCCCAATTAATATTAGAGCATTTCACTTTCAAACTTAAGTAGCTCCTAAAAGTTAATTAAAAAATACCCAACATACCCCTATTTAGGGTTGAGAACTCCAAAGCAGCAGCATTTCAGTTAATTTGACCCCAACAAACGTACCCACCATTTTCTTGGGGCGCCTTCAGCGAGCGCTGGGTTTGGTTAGGATAGACCCTAACCCTGGGATGAGGACCCGACCAAATAAGAAAAAATGTATAAAAAATTACGTTAAATATTTTGTAGCACATATTTATATATGGGAAAAGTTTATAAAAAGCCGAGGCTCTAAACAATCAAATTTCAGCCTACCTCAAAAATTTCCCTAGAAGAGGTGGTTTAGATGCCCAAATATCTTCAAATTGATCATCTCGACATCTAGATGCATGGACAAGACAAAAAAATTGATTGCAAGTTTTGGAAATAGTGTATTTTGTAATGCATTTTTGGACCGTCAATTTTCAAGATTTTCAAGTTTTCATAGATATGTCGATCTACATTATTTTTGAAGCTTTAAACTTTATAAATAAGTATGAATATATACTTTAAGGCTATCACAAAGATTTACAATATTGAAACCACATTTCTCGACACTATTTGAGGGTAGGCTCTTATTTGATTGTTTAGAGCCTAGGCTCTATACAAACCGCACCCTTTATATATACTTGTATGTATATATGTATTGGAATGGTCCAAGTGGGCTGACCTGACAAGTCAAGGTCAAGTGGACCCATACCTAACCTGTTGGGTCCACTGTCCAAGTCCAAACCCGGACCCAGTTGGATCTACCCGACACATTTCCCAGCCCGAATTTAGGTAGGTGGATTATTTAAATACCCAAGCTTGTTAGGATTGTAAGAGCAATTTGAGTATTTTTTTAAGATATTTTTTGAGCTGAAGGAATAAGACGAAAATTAAAAAGTTTTTGTATTGCATTACAATAGTTATCAAGTCCAGACCAGACCATCGATTGGTGCCTTGGCCAACCTGGTCTAAAGCAAAAACCTAGTTTATCAAAAGTACAAAAAAATTAGCGTTATTAAAGAGAGTAAACAGTTAGTGTTTGACCAGTCCAACGAGCTATACAAAGTTCATAAATGTTTTTCTATTATATTGCATTTAAACTTAATTTCTTATATCTTTTAAAAAGAAATGGGTCAAACCGGTTCGACCGGCTGTTGAATAGATTTTTATTGGACTAGATCCCTCACCAATTCGGTAGCGAATCCGATCTTGATAACTATGATTACGATCCCTTAAATGATAGACTTCCCAATAATAAAAGGAAAAGAGGTTTTGAAGAAAATAGACGACAAGATGTAGAGCAGAAAGTAGAGGTTTTTTAAAAGAAAATTAGGTTTCAGTTTCAAGAAAACAAACTAAAAAGGGGAAATAGATTTCTTAGAACGATCAAACTAAATGAAAACCTCATTATAAAGAGAGACAATTCTGCCTAACACATGCATTGTTAGTTTCAACACTACATAGTACCTTAAATTTCTAGAACTAATATGAGCTCCCTTGATCTATTAAAAGCTTGTCTTCTCATTCATAATTTTTAGGGAGATTAACTGACGTGCGTATCAACAGGTGATCCGTGTAAACAAAAGTTGAAAAGGGTACAAACAAATTAATATAAATCCGTAGATCTTAAATTTGTTGAAAGACCCAACAATAAATATTTTTTAAACATGAGCTATTTTGAAGCAGGAAAGTATAATAAAATCCAGTGGACTTTGGAAAAACCAGTCCCCAGAACATCATTATCCTGGACAGTGAAGGAGAATGGGGCAAATCAAAACAAGAGACAACCCCAATGTTGGGCCTCAATCTCTCTCCATCATCATCCATCATACAAAAGAATGGTCATGACCTGTGAACTATGGTTTTTTTACAGTCTGTTGGATTTTTTCTTTTCCTTTTTTTTATTCTTTTTTGTAATTGGATTGCATTAAGCCTTCTCTTTTCCTAGATTTCTCAGAAAATGTACCATCCTCCACTCCCCAAGATAAAACATGGAAAACACAAGCAACCCCAAGAACAACAAAAAACTCACCTGATCAATGTATTGACCTTCTTGGCTTGGATATCATACATTTTCTTCACAGCAGCCTTGATCTTCTTTTTGTCTGCACGAAGGTCCACAATGAAAACAAGGGTGTTGTTGTCTTCAATCTTCTTCATTGCAGACTCAGTTGTGAGTGGATACTTGAGGATTTGATAATGGTCTAGCTTGTTCCTCGGGGGCGCGCTTATGCGAGGATACTTGGGGTTCCTCTCCTTCGTCAGGGTCTTTGGGCGATGGAAAGTAACAGAAGTTCGAATCTTCTTTGTCTTCTTCTTCAGAGTTGAAGCCCCTGACTTCACTGCCTTCGCAGCCTTCAAGGCCCGTGCCTTGGGGTCAGGCTTCTTTGTAGTGGCTATTCAGGATAAAATCACAATATGGTTAGGTAAAAGTTTTAACATGAGAAATAATTATGATCATTGGTTTCTCCATATAATTGTCATTGTTTTATGAATTAAATAATCATCATCATCGTCAAAGCCTTTTCCCAACTAATTAGCGTCGGCTACATTATGAATTAAATAATATCAAATTTATATCCAGCATCAGCATCATCCTAGATGAGTACAGTAGAATCCTATTGGTCATTTGGTACCATACTGGTGCTAAATGCTGTAGCTATAAAAAACATAAATCAGATATATATGAATAGGAACAGCAATTTTTTATAACAAATTAAGCAAAAGGAGAGCTCTCACTAATTGGGGTTCTCTCCATAAGAAGTATCCTACTATAATGCTCCCGGACAATAAAAAATAAAACATATCCAGCCTCTATTGGAAGTCAGTCAGAGTAGGGGGGTGTATATATAGCTGGATATTACATATATGTAATGCTCCCAGACAATAAGAAACAAAACATCTCCAGCCTCTATTGGAAGTCAGTCAGAGTGGGGGTGTGTATACAGCTGGAAATTATATATATGAAAGGGGTATTCTTTAGTTGGGCTGACTAACATTCACCAAGAGAAACAAGATAAAACCTTTTTTTTCAGACAAATGCATGAGAAACTTGGGGGAAAGGCAAGGGCCACCTGAGGTAGATTAAGGTAAAGAAGTGATTTAACTTTTGAATTTACAAGAGGCAATCAACAAAGTCCAACCTCGCAATTTAGATGATCATAAGCCACTCTTTTCTTGAGAATGGTCGAGACAAAAAGCCCATAATCAATTATTGATTAAGAAACAACCACAGAAAACAACAAAGCCGCCAATTTCACCCTTCCCAAACCTATTAGTTACCATCAACAGACAGTTAGGAGGTGCACTAGAAAGGACCAGCACAGGGAAATTCATGGGTTTGGACTCTAGAGTCTAGAGTAGCGCCATTCAAGGATGACTCATAGAATAGGAGAAAAGTTTGAATGCGCAAAGGTTGAGTAACACCTATGATTGACCAAAGTCTGTCCATGCTGATATCTTTTAAAGTGGAGTTACACTAATAATATCATTTTTTTACAACGTAACAATTATAAAGCTCCTTTTTTTTTCCAAGAAAATAGATTGTAAAGCTCATCATAAATCTGTATTGCTTCAGCCGGGATTCTTTTGGTTACATGAAACTTTCAAACTAGTTCCAAAAGAAGGCACACTTGCTTGTACAATGTTTAATTCAGATGCTACTACAATCGTCTTTGTATATTTCACGAACATAAAAATAAAGGTCAAAATCATATGTTCTGATGGAAAGAATTTGATTCGCAGATGGAGTGCAGAATGCCCATAGAAGGCAACTGGTCATTATCATTTTCTTTTTCGAAATTAAAAGAAAAATTATATGACACTGAGAATAAGTATCTACCATTCAGGCTACTTGGAGAGAAAAAAAAAAAATTAAGACATGGGAGAGATGTTAATCATTAAGTCCTTGAAAAATATTCAGCTATCTAACTATCAAAAAAGTCTTTCTAAACAAAAGAAAAGGAGATATTGAGCTATCTAGCTGATGACTTCACTGTCTTTTTGCAACAGCTCAATGTCAACTTTATATTCCATAACTACCATGATTCTCCACATGTTCACTGTCAAATAAAGACAAGTGAAGTTCCACCAAGCCCGAAGAGAGGCTTCCAATCACCAGCTACTGTGATACAAAGAATGGAAAATATCAATGTATGTACACAGCAACAGATCACATCAAATCACAGGAACCTAAACATTCATGCAGGACATGGCATAACCAACATACAAAGAATACACTAACCTTCCAAGAAGAATACCATATGCATGTCAACTAATGCATATAATGAAATCTTCAGAACCACTTTTGAAAGTTTTTATGTTTCTTACAAGCACATAAGTAAAGAATACATCATCAAAACAACAATATGGGGAGCGGCAATCAAGGACAGCCGAAGGTCAAGTAATTTTCGTATAAAAAAGCAATAATCAACTTTTAAGTATCTAATATCACTATCAAACAGATAGAAGATTGATCACACACCTTTAGCAGGGGGAGCCATTGGGAACTCTAAACCAGCTTCCTTGTTGGTTGATCACTTCTGGAAGAAAAATTTGAACTAGAATCAGGAAAACAAAATCGTGATGCACAAGCCAAATACATATACCACATTGAAATGCCATAAAGAACTTTTAACACATGTCTTGCAAATAAACAGTCTGCTCCTCCTAAAAATAGAGCACCCAAATTATCCATGAGAAACAACATAAATCCAAGCAGTCATGTTGGTGACACTTTTGACAGAAAACACATGTTAGAGAAAAAGTGACATTTCTTGGAAGCTTGGAAATATGGAGGTCAACACGCTAACTACCAAATGTCAAGGAAGTAAGTACTCCCCATGGAATTTGTTGACACTAGACCAATAGTGGCATAAAACTATATAAGATCTTATCGTCTTATAATTGTGTCCATGGTTTCGAAACATGTATTCAGAAATCATATAAGCAGACACCTGTAGCAACACACACATTAGACACAAACAGAAAAATGGCAGATAACACGCATGCCATCTCAGTAGATGTATTCCCATGAGTCTCATGTTTCAAACTATAACCCATTACCTAAACGAATACCTTTTTTTTTTTTACTCCACCTCTTTATAACTGTGTTGAAATTGGAGATGGCAGAACTCTATAAAATGACAAGTAAACCAGTGCTTTTAAATATAGATAATTTTTCAATATAGCTTGGAGGCAAAATTAATTAACTCATCCAAGATCTAAACTATTCAATTGATCCTAGTACATTATACCCCCTAAATTTTTTAATATAGTTCACAATAGGCCCACCTTGAAAAAATCCCCCAAGTCCTGGAGAATGATTCAAGCCTAAAACCAAGCACATTATAATTTCCAGTGATATTTTGTGAAGTCATCTATTTCAGATAGTTAACCCCTTTCAAATCAATACACATTGGGTAACAAGCAATGCAAACATTACACACATACAGAAAAATGGTTGACAAACATGCACTCCATCTCAGTACATGTATTCCTATAAGTCTCATGTTTCAAACTATAACCCAGTACCTCAACGAATTAATTTTTTTTATTGGACTCCACCTCTTTATAACTGTGCTGAAATTGGAGTTAGCAGAAACTCTATACAGTGACAAGTAAACCAGTGCTTTTAAATATCGATAATTTTTCAGTATGGCTTCGTGGCAAAATCAATCAATTCATCCAAGATCTAAACTATTCAATTAATCCTAGTTCATTATACCCCCTAAATTTTTAATACAGTTCACAATAGGCCCACCTTGAAAAAAAAAACACTAGTCCTCGAGAATGATTCAAGCCTAAAAGTAAGCGCATATAACTTCCAGTGATATATTGTGAAGTCATCCATTTCAGATAGTTAACCCCTTTCAAATCAATATGCATTGGTAACAAGCAATGCAAACATTACACACATACAAGCAGACAAACATGCACGCCATCTCAGTATATGTGTTCCTACAAGTTTCATGTTTCAAACTCTAACCCATTACCTCAACAAATCCATTTTTTTTATTGGACTCCGCCTCTTTTTAACTGTGCTGAAATTGGAGATGGCAGAAACTCTATACAATGACAATAAAAGTATGGCTTGGTGGCAAAATCAATCAACTCATCCAAGATCTAAACTATTCAATTAATCCTAGTTCATTATACTCCCTAAATTTTTTAATATAGTTCACAATAGGCCCACCTTGAAAGAACGCCATAAGTCCTGGACAATGATTCAAGCCTAAAACTAAGCACATATAACTACCAGTGATATTTTGTGAAGTCATCCATTTCAGATAGTTAACCCCTTTCAAATCAATATGCATTGGATAAAAAGCAATGCAATTGGCTAAAATGATGTTATGAACTTCAAAATGAATGAACCAATTATCAATAAAAGAATTTCCCTTAGTTATCCACACTAATCCACGGATCAGCATATAACACTGCCAGAAAATGATATAGAATTAAGCTTTATTTCCTTGAAACCTATTTGGAAACTGCTAAAACCAATCCCAAAACTCCCAAACCTGCTTCCACTTACAATTATATAAGAGAAACACATATTATTTTCCATTCATATATGAATAACCATATACAGTTTACTTATTAACTATGTGAAGGTAAAAGACAAAACATAATTCATATGGTATATACTTTTCGTGGTGTTTTTCAAGCATTTCCCATACCATCTAAGAAACCATAACGGAAACATTGAAACAATAATAACATTTGTATCATCAGGGTCTGGTAAATTTTTTCGAATAGAATATAATCTGCGCCTTGCAATTGAAGCCTATAAGTGATTGCAGAGAGAGAGAGAGAGAGGTGCTGTCAGTTGCTCCAAAGGTCTTCCAGTGAAAGAGAACATGAACAAAACTAGTTTGAACATCTTACAAAATCAGAAATTGACTAACCTAATAACAAATAAAAGAAAAAACTCGGGACTCAAGATCGATTGGTCTTATTAGCATGGTGCCTAATGCCCCAGAAATGAGAGATTCAGAGAAATATAAGAGTGCAAGTTCTTCAATACTAAAGTGATTGCCCACCTATCTTAACAAAGTAAGAGTGCAAGGAAACAAGAAATGGAACCCTAGAATACAATCGTGTTGCATAAGTAAACTGACGGGAGAGAGAGAGAATTAAAAGTCCACAAGGTAGTTGAGTGGTTATCTGTTCATTCCCTAGCTTGTTTGCAGATCTATATCACTGAAAAACCAAATAAACAATGCAAAACCCTAGATTGTTGAGCCCAGGAACTTAGAGAGGGAAAACCAAGCGAAAAAAAACCACCAAAAAAAAGAAAACCAATAAACAATCACAAAATAAAACTATGAGAAACAAATTAATAAATGTAGATAAATACAGTTAAAATGCATGGAGATAAAGAGATGTAATGAGAGAGAGAGAGCTCACCTCGCGCGAAATCGAATCACCGCCTACCGGTATCGAGCAAACTAGGGTTGGACAGGTTTTATAAAGAAGTGAGGCTCGAAGCCGTTAGATCTATTCCGAGTCGATCTCTACCGTTCATTTAATCCGTGGCTTTAACACGTGCATTCACCCGTGCATAGTGGGTCTTCACCCTCGCGCGAATCCAAATAAGAAATGAGAAATTATAAAAAAAGACCATTTACATTTAATGCATGATGGTCACATTAATTTTTTACCATTGGATATGATATTGATTATAATTATTCCATTGATTAAGTTCAAACTTGAAAATAAATTTTTTCAAATTTTATTGACATATCCAAGCTATCAAATTTCACATCAAATCGTTATAAGGAATCGTGACCACTTTGTATCAAAAGTAAATGATCTCATTGCATATAATCTCATAACAAATGTACCGATCGTGTGTGCATTTATTAGATAAGATAAAGTATAGGACAAATTACATACATATTATATTGGGTTTATTACCATTTGGTGGCTAATATGCCTAATATTAGAAGCACCACCAACTGTCTTTTTTTTTTATTTTTTTATAAGTTGCTTCGATCCAATAATGAAAACACCAGATATAGAGCATATTTTAATTTCAAACTCAAAAAGTTGTCTGGTGTTCGTATTACCGGATAGCTCACGTCATTTAAAGTTTTTTAGTTCTTTGATGTCCAGTATTCAAAATATCGACCCCTTTGTATTTTGTGATATGTAGTTATGCAATTCAATTGATAAGTAATTATGCAGTAATTATGTATTGAATTGTTTTTTCCATTACATGAAAGGCTTATGATTAACATTGATGAGAGTTTTAGCAACATTAAACATTGGGCCGTTAGCAATGAGTAGCAGGAACTAATTTGAAGATCAGGGCTATGGATTTTTGTTGAGTACGCTACTATTGCGGGGGCATCGTGACATATTGACCACCCTCTTATAGGGGCTATGACAAAAAGGAAGGAGAGAGTGTGAAAGATAAGATAGGAAAGAGGAAAGAGAGTCGTGAGACAGAAGAGAAATGAGGGAAGAAATGGTGTACTGGGTTTTGGGGAATTCCATAGAGCTGTCAAGTTTTAGGCAGGGCAGCCAGCATAAAACTTCATATCTTTTAATAAATCTCAAACTTATGAATGGTATAAGAAGATTCATATAGTCAATCTCAAATAGTTGGAATAAGGCTCGGGTGATGATAATAATGATATAAGGGAAAATTACTTATATATTCGTTATAGTTTGCATTATTACAAAACTACCGAATAGTTTTCGTTATTACCTATCTATTCATTTCTTTCATGTCATAACAATTTTTTTTTAAAAAAAGATAATTTTACTTTTTTTCGGTTGTTGAACAACCGAATTCAATGGATTTTTTATTATAAAACAACTGAAATCAGACCAATTTCGGTATTTGATAAATCAAATATTCAAAATTTTCGATTGTTTTCTTCAAGAACTTAAATTTTTATCATAGGCACTCCCTTTTTTTGGTTGTTGAACAACTGAATTCAATGGATTTTCAGTTGTTCAACTACCGAAATCCTCTATACCCTTCTTTAACTACACTTTACCCGTTTTTCCCTTTAAACTCTTCTCAATGTTTATCAACATAGATTAGTCATCTTTAACTATGCTTTACCTGTCTTTTCCCTTTAAACGCTTCCTTATGTTTATCGACATAGATTAGTCATTGTAGAGAGAATGGATAAATATAGGAAAGAGTTTTAAACCGAGTGGCAGTTTTGGGTACTTGAAAATCTATTACGTGATAATAGATTTCCATTGTTTGGGTACACATAATCGTATGTTTGGGTACAATCAAGAAATCCATTATGCACAGTGATAGATGAAAAATCTATTACGGGAGTGACGGGTAATTTTGAGAAATCTTTCATGTGCGTTTTTTCCTATCTTATTCTTGATTAAAAAAATCTTTTTGTGGTAAGCCCGGTCTCGTCATGTAAAAATAATAAAAATAAAAATCAGTAATGATAAATTATACATCATAATCCTCATAAGAGATTCCTAAAATCTCAATTGAAATAACATATCTCTTTAATCTCCTTCAATACGTCAAAAATTTATACTGCAATTACAAAACCTCTAGTTTACTAATCAAACTTCTTCCCATTTTTTAACTTGTACCATAGAGTTTTTGAATTTAGTATCATAAATTTATTGTTTATTTGAAATTATATAGAAAGACATTTGAAAGACTTCTATAAAAAATAAATAAGAATAAGACTTATCATAATAAAATCATGTTATTCCGATTATATCGTTCCAATAACTTATCATGTTGAAACCAATGCCATGTTAGAAGATATGTGATTCCATGTAAGTGCCAAAGGCATGTAAAATAAGCAGGAAATGGTATCATGATGACTATAAAATGGTACAAGTTATTATTAAAAAATCTTTTTGGAATGGTGATAATGTTATTATTAAGAATTTTTTTAGAATGGTGTGATGATGATTTTAATTCCATATTTTAGTAAAATTTTGTAACAAAAAAGAAAGAAATGATAATTCTGCATTTTAGTAGAATTTTGTGACAAAAAAAAACATTGATAGTTTATAAGCACGTGTTGGTAAAATGTTGGTAATGCATTCTTATATTTCTTCCAGCCATAACCAAACAATAACCATATATTTCTCAAGCTGCATCTAAATACTACCCAAACATTAACAATCCATTTAGAGGTAATATATTACACCAGTAATATATTTCACAAATAATATATTTTCAGGTATCCAAACGGCCCCCTAACATATATGGAGAGAATGGATAAACGTTTAAACCCACGTAGGAGAGAGGATGGATAAACGTTTAAACCCACGTAGAAGAGAAAATGGATAAACGTTTAAACCCACCTAATGTAAGGTATATAGAGAGAATGGATAAACATAGGGGGAGAGTTTAAAGGATAGGAAAGAGTTTAAACCCACCTAATGTTTATCCATTATCTCTCTATATTAGGTTAAACTCTTCCCTACCTTTTAAATTCTCGTTTATCTAAACTCTCCCCTATGTTTATCTATTGTCACTCTATACGTTACATTAGGTGGGTTTAAACTCTTCCTTTTATAGGAGTTTAAAGGGAAAAGACGGGTCAAGCATGAGTGAAGAAGGGTATAGAGGATTTTGGTTGTTGAACAATAGAAAATCCATTGAATTCGGTTGTGCAACAATGGGAAAAAAGGGAATACCTACGAAAAAAATTTCGGTTATTCCGAAAATTTTGAATTTTCGGTTTTTCAAAAACTGAAATTGGCCTGATTTCGGTTGTTGAACAACCGAAAATCCATTGAAATGAAAAAAACGGACAGATAGATAATAACGGAAACTATTCGGTAGTTTTGTAATAACGCGAACTATAAATGATATGTACGTAATTTTCCCATGATATAATGAGCGCATCTCAATTTCTTACAGTGCATTCACACGTCACAATCGTAAATTTAGGGTTTTAAACAACATATAAGAATTGCCAAATTCGAATCAGGAATCGGTGGGAGTACCCCATTTTCCATCATAAATGGGGAACTCTAGCCAACCAGTTCTATCACGGAATCGGTCAATTTAGGCCCTTTTCATTTTATTTTTTTAAGCTTTTTATTATTAGATATATATATATATATATATATATATATTTATTTATTTATTTATTGACCAATTTTGCCGATCCAGATTAACTGAGGAATAGGTTTGTCCAACCAATTCATATTCACAGGGGTTCAATTAGAACAAGGACGGCAAGGCATGGGGTGATGAGACTATAAGAAAATCTAGTTTGCCTATTCTCTTATGGAAAATTGTTTCATACGGCGGGGACCGCATTTCTACATTTGTAGTCCCCAACATAAAAAGTATCAATCTTAAAGATTGATGCAAGTAGGTGGTCCATCTAAAAATAATTGAAATTAACGGTCCAAATATTTTTTTAATAGAATTTTTATTTTAAATTTTTAAAATTTATTTATTTATTAATATTCATGATCTCCATGTTAGAGATTACGTGTCCTTAAAAATTAGATCAAAAAATCTATCTCAAAAATAGATTTTTAGTTACGATAGCTTTCTCATTGAATTTGTGTTAGAAGATAATGGTCACCCCCCTCCTAAAGTAGTCAACTCTACTAGTGATGAGGGCTGGACGGTTGTCGGCAACAGAAAGCATAAGAAGAACCATAACCTTGTCAATGGTGATAGTGTGCCTCTGCATGTTCACAGCCAGCGCCAGTTTAGGCGGTTCAAGAAGACACGTGGACTTCCGTGGGGATCTAATAATTTGAAATTAAAAAAAAGGTGGATATCGGTGGGCCGCTATCCTAGCAATTCCTTTGACTACCTTTCACCCACACCCAACGTTGTGTTAAATTCGATAGATATAGATTTTAGTGATGATCCTGAGGGTCCACCGAAAAAGGCATGGTTTGATAATGGGGACAAGACGTTAGGGTGTGTAGAGGGGAACCCGAAATTTATGGCGACGTACTACTCCCATGATGGATTGGACGTCCCCCAGTCCTCACGCTTCCCTTCGGCGACATTTGAGTAGGGGTTACAACTCCCTATGCCATTGGGAAGTTCTTTTTCATTTGAAGCCTGTGCCGGTGGGGAGGTCCAATGAAAGCCCTACCACTACTTTGCTCAAACTTGGAAAAACTCAGGGTTCCCATTGTGCAATCATAGCGCTTCTCTGGTGGAGCTTGCTGTTGAAAATGAGGATACTCCCCTTTCGCCAGGCCTCTAAGAAGAAAAGGATGCTGCAGTGTGGGCCGACGAAGCTTGTCAATCCCTTGGCTCTGATTATGATTGATGAAGTAGACGACAAGGATAACCTGGAGATGGCGGATGGTGAAACCTTTATGGAAGTTGTTAATGGTTCTATGTCAGAAAGGGAGGGCTTGGATTTGGTGGAAGTAGGTTGGGAACAACT